TTAGATAGCTTTATAATACATTCATAACTAATAGTTATACTCTCAGATTAATCAATTTTCACTGTTATACCTTTACAGTACTACTTTCGAGTTCTTAAATTCTGAATTGTTTCTAATTTCTCAGAGTATATCCTTAAGTAATTCATTAGCTATTGGGGAAGATATGGCTTCCAAGAGCTTCCCCTACTGAGAATGGCATTCTAATTATTATGACACAGAAATGATATTTAGTTGGATTTAATATTTTGATTGGGAAGCTTTTTCCTGAAAATAATAGGGCAAGCATCATTTTTTTTTAAGCATATCTTAAAGGAAAAGTCTAATGTCAGGCTGCCATTTGGGTGCTTTTGTTTTATTCAGGCTTGGGCTTTGTATATATATTTTATCACAGATTCTTAAAGTAGACCTTTTCTCATTCATCTTCCTTCTAATAGTCTTTTTGTTTTGTGTTTGTTTTTGTTGTTTTGTTTTCATTTTAGTTCATTAACAGTCTCATCAGTTTGCTGTTTCTTTCTATTCTGTTTCTTTTTTTTTTTTTAGAAATACTGTCATTCAATATTTATTTTATGCCTTTATTTTATGGCTCTATTTCTTTGTGTACATTTTTCATGTCTGGGATTATTTCTCAAATTTGTCCTATCATATCAATATGATTCCATTTTCTATGTCATTAAACATGCTTTAAACTTCAAATTCCTTTTTTTTTTGAGCACTTATTACATGACTTAGTTCTTTTATTAAATATTTAATTTTCTTTCTCTTCATTCTTTATTCATGCTTCTTTACTTTCTTTCATCCTAGTATTCTCAGGAACTACTTTAAGATATCTTTTTACTCATGGAGAGCATCATTTTCACTTTATTTCTTTACCTTGAAGTAGGTCTAGATATGATATTCATAATGAAAAAAATAAATAATTATTAAAACCAAATGCAAAACTCATTGTCTCATTCCACGACAAATAAGGGAAAAACAGACAATCTTGGGCCTGTTAGCAGACTCTGTAGGTCACCGCTGTCTGTTTCACTGTTTTGGGGGTCTGTGGCTGAAAGGATGCAATGTACTGTGTGATGAGGGCCTTGGCTGCCTTCCTGCATTCTTTCCTAATTCCGATAGTTGCTGTTTGACAAATGTGGGATACTGAGAAGTGACAGACCTGATTTGAGGTCCCATTTCTGACAAGACAGTAGAAGTTGTCCCCCATTCTTATCTGGACAGACTAGATCTCAAGCAATCAGTGAAGATGGTACAAAGTGTCCAACTCTCATCAGAGCGAAGCTTAGATGATAGTTCTTTTCTGTTTTGATTTGTTGTCTGGTGAGTTTTTAGAGCCCAGTTTTGAGCATTAGGTGAGGTCTGTATAGATTTTTCTTAATTTTTTATGATACAGGGGATTGAACCCACTATGCTCAACCACTGAGCTACCTCCCTGGACCTTCTTATTTTTTATTTTATTTTTTATTTTTTGATACTGGGGATTGAACTCATGGGCAATCCACCACTGAGACACATCCCCATCCCTATTTTGTATTTTACTTAGAGACAAGGTCTCACTGAGTTGCTTAGCGCCTCGTAGTTGCTGAGGTTGGCTTTGAACTCGCCATCCTCCTGTCTCAGCCTCCCAAGCCATTGGGATTACAGGCAGGCATGCGCCACCATGCCCAGCCTTATTTTTTATTTTGATACAGGGTCCCACTAAGTTGCAGAGGCTGGCTTTGACCTTGTGATCTGAATTCAATTTCATGCCTATTTCATATTCTGCTAATGGTTAGTTTTAGTTTTAGTGACTTTTGGGGGTTGTTTTTCCTCAATGTTGTATCATTAGTAATTTAGTGGGATGTAGAGTGAATTTACATGAGGAACTGCTTGACAGGTGCCTCCGGACTGAGTGCCCATTGTTTGGCACTCACCACTACTACTCTGGAGTCAGGCTGTTAGCACTAGTAAAAGCAATTCCTCTTGAGAGAAAAACAAAGTTTAAAAGTTATATTGTTTTATCTAAGTCTACAAAAAAATCCGGAAAAGTCATAAATGCATTGGAGAATGAATAAAGTAAGTTATCCTTATGGAACTTTTTGTTAACAAACAGAGAAGCTATACATTGTTATCTACTTAGTAGTAAACATAAATTTATTTTTAAAGGAACTGTAATTATAGGCTCTCAATTACATCCAGCATCTTCATCATTAATGCCAGTTTCTGAGTCCTGACTTAGAGGGCGTTCCTTGTTAGAGAATCTCATCCTGTGCTATGTATCTTGCAGTTGGTATTGTCATTCAGGTCAGGTTATGCTATGCTCAGTAAGCCTATTTCAGCTTATTTTGTATACACTATTCTTTAAGAAAAGAAAGACACCATATATAAATCTTTGAGTTGAAATGAAAAAAAAAAAGTTTCATTTTATCAACACCAAAATGTCAGCAAAATAAGTTTCAGTTCCTTCTTTTGTGGTGCTTACACTATTGTGGGTAAATAGATATCGCTCCAATACTCAGAAAAATAATTGTAAAAATTCTGATTCCAGTGCCAAACTATCTTATAAAGTTACATTCAAATACCAGTTATTGTTGCTCTTGTAATGTCAGATCAAAGAGTGTTACTCTTATCTCATTAGAAAATTTCTGGTACTAGAACTAAATTTTTCCTACTAAAAGTTTTCCTACTAAAATAATATTTTTTTACTTAAAAATGTTTTTGACCCTTATACAGAATAAGTCAAGAGAATACGAAAGTTCAATCTGATTATTTATGTTTCTGTATAAGAGTGTTTCTATTTCTAGTAGTTATATTTGGATTACATTGATTCAGCCATATGCATACATGCTCCATATTTATCTTTTTAAAAGCAATAAATAGAAAGTATACATACAGACTGTTAAAAGTGAGCTCCTGTTCTTTGTAAGAACTGTATATTTATTTGGGTTGATATCCTTGGGTAGGTTTCTGTGGGAATCTGTGGCATTCATATTAGACATGACAAAAGAGATGAAAAACACTGGTTTTGAAAGTTCAACGACACTGACCTGCAATCTTGTTTTTATTTATGTCCTCCAATCCCAAGACTTTTCTCCAAACCTAGCTCTCTCAAGCCCAGAAGTTCCAACAGGCATTTCAGGTTCTGATTCCATTCATTTTTTTCCTGCTGTCAGTCAGCTTGACCTTCTCACAAATACTTGGTCCTTTGGGAAATTTATTGGTCCCTGAAATAAATCTCTTAAGCAATGAAAAAGAGAACTGCTTTAGAATAAGAAAATGCAACCTTTAGCCAATTATGCTTCTCTTGTCAAGTTTTCTTTACCCTTTGTGAAGCAGTTTTCTCTTCCTCAGGAAATGGGGGAACGTCAGGCCCATTTCCTACTTTGCCTTGAAGGTGGTGAGGTCCACTATTGGATTTGAGACATAACAAAGACACCAAAGCCAGAGACCATCTGACCTGGTTATATGGGAAAAAGATTAATCAAGCCTTCCAGAGGCAGATTCCCAGTGCCCTTTCTGTCAGCATCATCCTTAGAACTTCTTTCAGGAAAGATAATTTATTAATCTCCCTAAATATATATTTCAAAGGGAGATTCTATACCATGTTCATGTATCCTCAGACCAACACATACTCTCATTCACTAAGTGCTGGCTGAACCAGAAAGATGGTCTAAGTTCTGCTCATAACAACAGCAACTAATTGAGCACCATTTTACATTCTGTCAGAATACTCAGAGATTACTCAAAGTAACCCTATGGTTTCCAGTCAGATTAATAATTTCTCATCTGAGTGTGACAGTGATGACATATGCCTCAGGGGTTTTGTAAGGATTAAATGAGTGAGAAATCCCAAAGCAACTGATTCCATTAGACACATGATGAAGGTAAGAAGCAGAGATAGGGAGAGTCAGACCTGGGACTGTTTCCTCTTCTCCTCCTACTTGTAGTGGAAACTTGAAGAAGCTATGTTACTTCTATGAAAACAGGTTTTCTTATAAGTTTGTGGCAAACTAATTTGGTGGTACAAACCTGACAGGATACTATTTATGATCTTTATGTACTTCATTGAGTCGGAGTATTCATATGCTTGGTGGCAGAAATATTCATGTGTTTGGTTGCAGATCCTGTGTTGGGTAATATGGAGTTTATGGAAGATGCATCACATTACCTTTCTGAAATTAGAAAATTGCTGAATTCCTAAAACATCGAGCTCCATGAATTTCAGAGAAGAAATTCTGAACCCATAAGTCGTTTTCATTAAATTTGGGGGTGTTCGTTTATGCCTTAAGGAAATGAATGATTCATTGATTCTTCCTCCTTTACAAAGAAAAGAGTGGGGGAGGGGAGAAGCAAAACAGACATAAATGGTGACTCTTACGCTAGGGAGCTGTAGTAGAAGCTTTTTGAGGTCTGAATCTTCAATATGAGGGGGTCTTCTGGAGAACAGAAATCTGAATAAGTACCACTTCTGAAATTAAAAAAAAAAAAAAAAAAAAGGAATAAAAACCCTGAGGTTTCTCTATGAAACTGCATCTCCGTCTTTTTCCCTTTGCAGCTGAGCTGCTTCATCAGAATGTTCCAGGGACTCACAGAACCATAGTGCCACCTTTCTTCCAAATATGGAATTAAATCTTCACATTGCTCCTGCTCCGTAGACTCACAGGCTTAAACCTTTCTGTTGGCCTGACTAAGCAAGGAAACATTGCTTTGACAGTCAAATCATAAAGGAAGATCTGCAAAGAGAGCAAAAAAAAAAAAAAAAAAAAGTGTTTTCTTCTCTTTGGTTCCTGAGCAATAAACAGGTAACCTAATCTGATGTTAGGGAATGTGAACCATAAACCCCATGTTTAATTAGTTCACACCCAGTAAGTCATTTTACACACTAGACATTTTAATTTACAATCTTCTGCATTGCAGCACTTTTCTAGGCTTTTTACTATGTGATAAGGTATTCTTGTAGCTGGTGAGACTTTAAAAATACAGATACACTCTCTTAGTTCAGATATTTTCTTTTCAATTTTCAGTTGCAAATCAAACATGCAGTAACAGAAGCAGAGATTCAAAAATTGAAGACCAAGGTAAGCACCAGTACATGGTGTTTGAATTGTACTCTTTAAACTTCACATACTATAAATAAATTCAACCCTAGGACTGAAGGATTTGTTCCTGTGCATTTGAAAGAATACAAATGTGAGAGATTCATTTCCACCATTAGATCATAGACAAACATGCTGGTGAGAACAAGCATTCATGTACTCCTCAGGGAAAATAGCATGATATTTTAAATGTATATATTTATGTGTTTGCACACATGTAGTCAATTTCCTCAGAGTTCCTCAAAAAGTAATGATTTTAATGGTTCAAGTGTCTGAAGTATGTTTAATAAATTTTACCCACTAATTTTTTCACTTACCTTATTATAGATTTTATCATTTATTTATTTTTAGTTTATTCACCAGAAACAATGTATTGTTTTAATACAGCACATTATTTTTGATAAAAACAATTTTTAAGAATAAGATATTATAAACTTAATACAAGTAATTAATTTTAGGTGCTAGGTGCTACTGGAAATTTTTAGGCAAGTTTAATTCACATTTTTAAAAATTTGTAAGGGAGGAAAAGTCTTAATAAAAGGAAATAGGTATTTTTAGTCTCTATACATGAAATAATGAAGGATTCAAAAGGGCATTTTTAATTGGTAAATTGTAAGGTACTTGTTTGTATGAGTTATGATTCTAGCCATTGTGATTAGTCTTAAATATGTAATTTCATATTTAAAATACCTTTTGAATTACTTTAAAACAATATTTCTTATTGTTCCTATGATCTTTTAAAAATTAAGACATAATTACTCCCCCACTACTAATGATCCGTTTTCTCATTCACACTGAACACTTGTTTTGGTTTTTCCATGTGTTTTAAATGGAGATGAATTAGCAAGGCTATTTTGGTTAAATGGTATTCTCGCTCTGGAGCTCTTTAGTCAAAACATGTCTATACATCATTCATGGTGTCAGCCCAGCACTGTGAATAGTAATTTTTACATTAGTAGTGGTTGATAAATAAACAACTTGATACAAAATGTTTCTTAATAAAAGATATTGTAAAAAAGAGAAAAAAAAAAACTAGTCCTGTTTTAAATTGCAATTGTTTCTTGACATAGAAAAAAAAAGTGGATTTTTAAAAACTGGTTACAATTAGGGAAAAAAGATTCCCCTGTGATTATAAATGCTTCAGTGGAGCTTATGTGTTAGACTATAAACATTTAACTTAGAAAATACTATAAATTAGTATTTATATTTTTCTTATTATTACATTGGCTTATTATATTCACAGATTAATTTACTATCATGGTTATTAATGTTAATAATATAATTCCTAATTTTGAAGTACTTTGGGCTACTTTTTAACTTTGTAATTTGTTTTATAAGTATGTTTAGTTAAAAATTTGTAGCCAATTATGGTGGCACATGCCTGTAATCCCAGTGACTCAGAGACTGAAGCAGGAGAATCACAGGTTTAAGGTCAGCCTCAGCAACTTAGTGAGGCTCTAAGCAATTGAATGAGACCTGTCTCAAAATAAAAATGGAAAGGGCTAGGAATGTGGCTCAGTGGTTAAGCACCCTTGGATTCAATCACTGGTACCAGAAAAAAATATATATATATACAAAACACACAAACACATGCACACATACATGCACACACATATGTGAACATATATATTTCCATTTGCTGAATGGTAGGTGATTTTAGAATATCTTGATTTTGAGAATTTATAATTTATAATGATTCCACAATCTTTCTGAACTTTAAAGAAGGTATAAGAAGTAGATAAAGCACTAGACGGAAAGCTTTGCAGTGATTGTGAATAAGTGACTTTTAAGCCCTTACCTAAGTGATCAGTCTTAAATTTCTGTAGAAATGAAGGTGTTAGAGAGGTACATTGTCAATTCCTAAGAGTACCTAGAAGCAGAGGCTACAGAAAGCTGCCTTTCTGTTCCACTGGAGGGATTAAAATTAATCAAACCAGCATTTACATTTTCACTTACCCACCTTTGTACGTTTATGTGAATTGAGATTTATAAAGATTTGGAAATTCATAACACTGACTGTAATATAATAAGCTACAGACTGTGTTCATGCCATTGAAATAAAGAACATAATAATATCATCAAAGGGGTTAAAAGAAAAGTAATAATATCTAACATTTATCAGATGATTATTGTCCCCAAGGAACTATTCCAAGCATGCCAATGTGTTATATCACCATTCTGTCATAGAGACGATAACATCGACTCTTGGGAAAATCTAATTACTTACCAAAAGTTTAAGAGCCAATAATGGCAAAAATGAGATTCAAATCTAAGGTGAATAATCCCAGAGTCCCCCTCTTAACCATTGGGCCATCCTGTGATTTTGCTGTTCTCTCTCTGCCTCTCTTCACTCCCTTTTTAGTTAATTTTTGCATATCATTTTACATTTAAAAAAATACCCCCCAAAAAAACACTTTGACATTTGTTAGATAATCATTCAAACTCTAAAATGTCATTTCCTGCTTATAGAATTTCAGACCACAGGATATGAAGGAAAATTCATGGGATTTGGAATCAAATCCGTGTTTTTTATCAGATGTATCACTTTGGACAAATAATTTCTCTTTTGAGGCTTCCATTTTATCCTTTGTGGAATTATGGAAATAATACTTGCTTTTCTCATCTCAAGGTGTTTTGATGATTGAGTATATGTAATAATGGAATTTAATCTAAAACATGCTATAAAATATGAGAGACTTTGCTGCAGACATATCCAAATTATTCTTGCCTTGATATTTGCTTTCTCCAGTTGCAGGCCGCAGAAAATGAGAAAGTGAGGTGGGAACTAGAAAAAACCCAACTCCAACAGAACATAGAAGAGAATAAAGAAAGAATGCTGAAGTTAGAGAGCTATTGGATTGAGGCTCAGACATTATGCCACACAGTGAATGAACATCTCAAAGAGACCCAAAGCCAGTATCAGGCCTTGGAAAAGAAGTACAACAAGGCAAAGAAATTGATCAAGGATTTTCAACAAAAGTAAGCAGCTTTTCATGACTAAAGAGTAGTTATCTGTGTCCAAAACAGAGGCTTATATCCAACACTTTTGTAATATCTAGTGGAATAGAAAAGATGATCTCAAGCTTTTCCCTTTTGGTAGTATAGTGACCACCAAAGAAGTTATTATGTTCTGGAAACCACTTGCATCAGTTTTTCATGTTAGAATGTATTTTGCATATTTTGCCATTTTTTCACAATCATTTGCCTCCTGGTTTTCCTTTTTCTTTTTTCTTTTCTTTTTTTTATGGTTAATCATTGATAGTAACTATTAAAGTATTTGAACTTCTTTTTTCTTTTGGAAACCTCTCTATATCTCTGATTTAAAAACAAGAAACCTGGCTAAAGTCTTGCAAAGTGACTGGCTATAGTACTTGCTAAGGAGCATTTGGGGTTGGATCATGCTGCTTCTGTCTGAATCAATGACTGTAGAATTTCCCCATGACAGGCAGCGTAAATATTGACTGAACTGAATCACTGGGCCCGCAGTTCACTACAGTGAGAGAGACCATCACTACACTCCACTTTTGAATTCCAGCAACTCTTTCTGCTGCTTTGCTTCCATCTCTTGAATTTTGTTGTAATATCCGAAGGAAAGACTAGGAAAATTTTTATTATATTTTTTTCATCAGTTACTTCCTATTAGCTAAAACTAAAAAGAAGTAGTACCAGTACCTTTTCTGGTCCTCAGGTCAAGCCTTAGAAGTTACGTATATGTGTAAGATTCAGCATGTCTCTACCTCTTATCATGGAAATAATATTTTGAATATTGAAAAGAGAGTGCTATAAAAAATTTGTGGCAAAAGAAGGGTAATTGCTCTTTGTTAATGTGAATTCAAGACATCACTGTTTTAACCTTTTTGCCAAAAATATCATACCTAATTTTCTTTGTAATGATTTTATAATAAAGTTTGCCAAATTTCATATCCCATTCTAGCCTCTCAAAATAGAAATATTTCTCTTTCTTACTATATTATATTAGGTGTGTGAGAAGTACTCTCACACACCCATTCCCTTCTCCATGATAATTCAGAGAAAGAAATCTTAAAATAATCACCTTTGAAACTCTTACCATCCATTCGCATCAGTTTACTCATGTACATGACATTAAAAATAGGGAGTCATTTTTACCTGACACACAATTAAATTCTCCACAAAGTTACCCAATATATGGGTACTCTAGAATCAGGAGCTACAAATGAAAATTGTAATAAACAGAATCAAAATGCTATTCTTTATTTTGTGACACATTAATGATGTTTTACTTTTTTTAATTACTATAAACATTTCCTCTAACTACAGTTGATTTTTGTTTATTTAAATAGCTCTTTGTTTATCCCATTGTGAGATTTATTGTTCGGTAAGAACTCTCATTACCTCACCTATTAAGTGTCTGATACAATCATATGTATTATTTTCTTCTTAAGAGAGCTTGATTTCATCAAAAGACAAGAAGTAGAAAGAAAGAAAATAGAAGATTTAGAAAAAGCTCATCTTGTGGAAGTTCAAGGCCTACAAGTGCGGGTGAGTTGTATTCTCAAAGCTTGGAAACATGTGATAGTTTTACCTGGCACTTGGAGAGGAGTGCTGGTTTAGAGTTTTACAGATGGATATTTTTGTTTTTCTAGATTAGAGATTTGGAAGCTGAAGTGTTCAGACTACTGAAACAGAATGGGACTCAAGTTAACAATAACAACAACATCTTTGAAAGAAGAACATCTCTTAGTGAAGTCTCCAAAGGAGATACCATGGAGAACTTGGATGTCAAACAAACATCTTGTCAGGATGGCTTAAGTCAAGGTTCGTGTAGCCTAGCCTTGAAAATCACTTTTAAACTACACAATTTGGACTCACATTCTTCTTTTCTGATTCAGAGAATCCAGAGTTGTAAATGCCTTCCTACTTTTAGAAAGCAGAAAAGTCTTGTTAGAGTAGGACTCCATCATTTTACCTCTAATCTTATCAAAAATAAATGCCTTAATATAAACAATTAACAAAATCCCAACTAAAGATGAACTGAGTATTATTTTTAAACCATTATGTTGACTAACTTAATAATCTGCCTTAAAAATGATAGGCCATCTCATCAAGAATAAACCACACTACTTTGTACTAATGAATAAGACTTAGAATTTTTCAGTCCTTAGAATAAAGATCATTTTCATAATATCAGAAGGCCAACTATCTGCTTCTGACACTTGGAATTCATTTAGTTAAGATGATTAAGATGCTGTGTTCAGTTTTGTGCTTTTACCTTAGTGTCCCATGTGTGCCTCTCATCTTTCCTGTCAAAGACCAAATAAGACCAAAACACTGGATTGGATAGGACCATGAATAAATCCTTATGTTCTCACCCCCACACATCATATATAGATTGTGAGTATATGAATACAAATGAAGGTTTCATATCTATAATGCATTCATAAATTAGAAATTGTGTGAGATTTGTATAAACAGGAGAACAGAAAACATTTTATTTCATCTTCTTTAAACACACACATACACACAGAGAGAAAGAAGTCCTTAGAGAATAAAAATAGAAGAATATTGTGCAGCAGATTTTCATGATTGGACCAACAACTCATAGACAGCAATTTGACATGTAGTAAAACCATGCTAATAAAGAGCTGTTGAGTTTTTGATGATCATTCTCACATATTAGAATGTCTTCCAGTGAGATTTTTCTTGTAAATAAGTGTTTATATCCTGTCATTAACTTAAAACTAACCTTACACATTAAAAATGAAAAGGATTGAAAATTTTCATTCAAAATTAAAGTGATATCTGAAGAGATGCATTCATTCATTAGGTTTATGTCTTTCTGATGGATTTTCTCTAAATCAGGTATAATTAATAAATGACATCTCCCAGGCAGCTGAAAGAGGGGGATTTAGCCCCAGCATTACCACCAACCTGGAAGCTGTGTGACTGCAGGAAGATCACTTGACTTCTCTGGGTTTATTTTACTATGTATCATGCAAAAATACTGACAATTCTTTCTGTACCACTTTATTCTAGGGTATTTTGAGGCCACCTGACTTAGTCTATGAGCCCAGAAAAGTAATTTTATTAGAGTTTATGGAATTATGATTTTTATACCTGAAACACCATATGATTGATATCTAAAGAAAACCATCAGAAATCAAACCAATGGGGTTTTTATTCATCTTTTTGAATGCTTAAAATTTATTTTATTTTATTTTAAATACATGTTCCTGCTGTGGTATATACAAAAAATATGATCAGTAACCAGTAGCTTTTCATTACTATTCATATCTTTCAGTTTAGAAATCTGTATCTTGTCAAACATATAATTAATGGTATTTATTAAATTATATCACTATAAAAGATCAACAAACTATACTATTAACATGCTGATTTGGATCAAAACCTTACATTTCTTCTGAACCTTTTTTCTTTTCTACACCCTCCATTTTGCCACATAATTATCAGTTTCCCTAGCAACACTGTCGGTTCACAGTGAGATGCAGAGACTACTAATTCTTACTGAAGCCAATCCGTGCTTGTGCGGTAGAGGTAGACTCAGTCATCTCAGACATTAGCAGCATACATTATCAAGCACTGCTCTTCCAGTTCTGCTGCCGAGGACAGGCAGTGATAAATCTCCTTGAATTTCAATTGCTTGATCATATAAACTAAAATGGCTTGGTCAGTAGCTACACAGAATGCTCTGGAAAGCACTTTTCTAAATTGATCCTTTGCTTCTGTTGCTAGGGAACGCTAAAGTACTAGAGTTTAGAAAGGCGGGTAAGCACAGGCCATTCAGCCTTTAAAGATCCCCCTGCCACCTTTTAGCGAGGGCATAGAACAAGGCTTGCAGCCAGCCCCCTGGTTGTGCCCGTTAGGTGCCACATCGTCCTCCCGACCTCTTGTGACCATCCAGTTCTGATAGGCTTTCTGAGCACTGGAGTGTTAAATGAGCAGCTTAGCATGTTTGGGGGCCTTGAGGCCACTCATGAAGCAAAACATTTACAGTTCAGTGAAAAAATGTATCAGATGAAATAGTGAAAGAGCGGGAAAGGCAAGAGGAATAGAGGAGGCAGACAGGAAAGAGGAGGAGAGGAAGAGCCCATAAGCACCCATTTCTTCACAGGGTCTTGTGCTCTTCTAGAACAGAGCTTCCTGACTGAGACTGGATGGTTACATGACTCTCAATGTTGACTCATTGTGCATTTCAAAGAACAAAATTGTTTTTCAAACCATGCAAAACTTTATCACAGTTAAAATTAAACTTGAACACCATTTTGTATGTTTCTCTTCTATAAACTAAGCCAACTTAGATATGTCATTGAAATTTTGATAAAGTAAGTGCATACAGTGCATTGCTTACTATATCCTAATACTTTTTTTCTTATTGTAATTACATGAAATAAACATAACAAGTTTTTTTTTTTCATATGGAGGTACTCTAGACCCCAGATCTCTTCTAGTTTACACCAACATGCAAGTCAAATTTAGTTTCCATGTGTACAAGGGTAGGAGAAAGGATCATTTTGCCCTTTTGCCGTGTTTCCAGTTTATTCTTGCTTAATGCTTGAATACTACTGTTGTATGTGATAGTTCTCTGTCTTGTATCCAAGCGCCCTAAAATGACTCAACATGTATGGCTGCCCAGCTGTTAAGGTCAGGCTTAGAATAGAAGCAGAGAATAAGTCTGAGAAATCTTGGTAGGTAAAAGGGTTGTAAGTTTAGTTTGATACAACTTTATAGAAAAATTGCTAAACTATAACATGTTTTTCCTGCACTTTTAGATATTTCAGGAGCCTTATGATACACATTTCAGCTTCAAATATTATACAGACTGTTTTGTTAGCGAAAGATTATGCAGATTCAATAGAGATTGAAAGAAAGACTACTACTAAGAATGGAAATTACATATGTAGGCAGATTAATATTACCCCACTTTGAGAGGTAAAGAGTAAGTAGTATATCATTTAAAAAGTTATGTTGAACACTAAATACCTGCTTCCTGGCATTCTTCAGGTAGCACTCTAATTTGTGAGGGAAAGGGTGACTTCTAGGTAGAAAGGAAGTACTAGACTTTAACCATGTATACAACAAGGTATATAATTTGTGAAGTGGCTGGGATTAAGCATGAGGAAGAGGAGGGTTTGATAGGAGACAAATAAATAGAACCTATGGCACAATATAGGTATCTTAAGATGAGAGAGTGTTCAAAAAGGGAAAAATTAAATAATAGTGATTTTCTTTTCTTGTTTCATAGACCTCGTGTTAAAGTTATGGCCATTTGAAGTAGCATAGAGTGTCCTTGAGTGAAAGTGGGAGTCCAATGTCTGAGGAAAGGTTGACGCATAATTTTGTAACTGTTGGATTCCATTAACAGTTAGGGTATAACAAGAGCTGAGTCACCTGTAGGTTTGTGAGGTAATTCAAAGACCTCTGTGAAGCTTGAGTATTGCTCTTCTTTCTCACAGTCACCTACTCAGCCAAACAAATCACAAGTTGCGTGTTACTTTCCTAAAAGTATGAACATGGAAGGTTACATTAAGTATTTTATGGTTCCTTTAATTACTTACTGTATTTAAATACCATCTCTTCCACCTATTAATTGTGTGACTGTAGAATGTTATTTAATATCTGTGGTTTGGGAAAAGTGAAATAATTATAAAACTAAAATTTATAGAGCTGGTGTGAGGATTAAGTGTGACCAAGTTAAATACTTTGTGCAGAACCTAGCACATAGAAAGATCTTAACGTCGCCATCACAGTAGCACTGATAAACAAAGGCTGCCTTGAGCATTTTAACTGTCCCTCTCTAGTGATCTGTACATAGCTCTAGAAGCCAAAAGACAACTTTAAATTCTTTATTTATCTTAACTTTTCTATGAACCCCATGAAGTAATGAAATGTGGCAAGTCCTGGCATGGTGCCTTCTATAAGTTGCCCACTTATAACGCCAGTTTTGGAGGGAAGAGATCCTCAACCATTTCCTAAATAGTTATTCTCTTCTCAAAACAAAGTAAAAAAGAATAAAAGAAAAAAAAAAAAAAAGATTGTGCTCTACCACTGAACCACAACTTCAGTCCCAAACTCTAGCTTTCTTAACTTTCAGACAGAGGTTTCCCTGTTTTCACAGGGAAATTATAAAAAACTTAAGATCAATGCTAATTGTAAAAGTTGACAGTCATACCCACCTCCTTGTCCATCAGGAATTTGGTTTAATAAGATTACACCTGATGACACGAGATAAATTGGAAGTGGCCATTTGGGATTCTACATAATTTATAGAATAGTATAAACAAAACAGCCACAATAAAACATTAAAAAGTAGCTAAGTCTATTTTTTTTTCTTTTTTAAGAGAAAATTCTGTGGCACAGGTACCTGAGACACACTGCTCTCTGCTGTATTTTGTAGCTAGATTTCTATAAGTGGGATTGCTGGGTTAAAGAGCAAATGACTTAAAAACCTGAATAATCCCAAGTGAAATAAGTAAAAAGTGGCATACTCTCAGCCACTTTTAAACTCAGCCACAAGTAAACCAGTACAACAGGACAGTGCAGAAGCAGACTGACACACTTGTGTCAATGTGGGAATATTACAGAAGTACACTGTGGACCTGTGGGGTAAGGGGGGACTGAGAAATGATGCCAGGATGAAAGTTGATGACCCCACCTCACATCATCATGAAGTAAGTTCTAAATAGATTAAAATCTCAAATACTACAGGCAAGATTTAAAACTTGTGATAGGAAACATATAATATTTATATGATTACCTGAATAAAATATAAAAATTCCAAAGCATAAGGAAATTTTGAT